TCCAGGTGTACAAGATAAGTGTCCTCAGGGTGGAGACCTGTGTGGGTTGGGACTGTGGGGCAAGGTGGTAGAGTGAAAAGTAGGTAGGGAAGAGGAGTCAGGTGTGGATGGAAAGAGTGGAGAGAATGAGGGTGCAGCTGTGACAGAAACAAGCTCACGGGTGACTGGTGGCTCAAGAGCACCACAGCACAAGTAGGTGATGAGCCTTGAGTGAGAGGAGTGACTCCTTTCTTACCAAGGGGGAAGAGAGAGGAGGAAAGTTTGAGCGCGTCCCCAACTTCTTTAGCTTCTGTTTTCTCTGTGAAACAGGAAGTGAGGTCAAGTGCTCTGGAGAAGGTGAAGGGGCAACCACAAGGCTTGTAGAAAAGAGTCAAGGCTCAAAGGAGCTAGTGCAGGAATAGGGGAGAGCAGACTGCTGTAAACAAAGGATGTTAAACTGAGGTCAAGACCTTAAGTGCGTTTAGGGTGAATCGCTCCAGAGTTAGGATCTGGCTGGAGAAGACATGGATGTGGGAGCATTGCAAGAGAGTTGGAGTCTCAGCCAAGCCAAGAAGGAAGCAAACAGAAAGACCTGGTGGGGGAAACCAAGGGGCTGGCAGCTCAAAGCACAGATCAGACACGGGGGAGGGAAGCTGCAGTCAGCTGTGGAAATGGGTTCTAAGTGAAGAAATAAAATGCTCAGACATGTTTGAAAAGAATCCCCCAGCTGCTGTGGAGAACAGGGTTCTGGGGCAGGAGTCCACTTGAAAGGGCACTGCATGCGGTAGCTGGGACTGTGGTGCTGGGACCAGGGTGATTACGGGATGGTGCACAGTGGGGGGATTCTGGGACTGATAGGAGTTGGCAGTGATGGGATGTAGGGTGCAATAGAGAGGCGTCAGAATGTATTGAGCATCTACGATATGCCAAGCATGGTGTGGGGAGCTTACCATTTAAGGTTGAGATAGACAGGAAACTGATAGTTACCTGCAGTGTTCTTGGCATTTAGAAGTGAGTAGATATGCTGGGGTTGGGGGAGTGGTGAGGAGGAGGGAGTCCAACTAAACTGTGCTGGCTTGGGAGGGATTGCAGGGAAAGGCTTCCAGGAGGAGGTGCCATTGGAGCTGGCACTACCAGATGGCGGAAAGAGGAAGGGCATCCAGAATGACCACGTGCAAAAGCCCAAAGGCAAGACTGAGGAGCCCGCTATGGCCAGAGGGCAGTGAGAAGTCAGTGTGGCCACTTATCTAATGCACATAAAGACAGAAGTAAGACTGCAGAGAGAAGCAGGAACCAGAAGAGGAAAGGGAGCTAGGGGGCGATGCTGGGCTCCTGGATGGAGAGGTGGGAAGGTGAGGGAGGGCATGCCATGTGAGCCTCTGGCTCCAATGACAGCTGCCAAGATGAGTTAGCACAGCTGGGCTTCATGCTTGCAAGAAAGGCTGTGGGCAACGTGGGGAGTGGGAGAGAGAGCCAGAAAAGGGGGTTGCCAGGCACTGAGAGAGTGGCCTGTCTCAGAGTCCCCAGCTGTCCATTGAGGCTTTCCTGTATCTGAGCTACAGGTGCTGGCAAAGGTGTGTGCTGGGCAGCTGGAGAGGAGTGAGGAGGCAAGACAAGGGAGTCAGCTGGTCAACCTGAGTAGCCATAACTCAAGAGTAGCTGGGGGAGGAGAAAGCTGGGAGTGGCTGAGAAGCACTTGTCCACTGATGTCCCCACAGCAGGGCAGGGACAATGCTGACAATGCCTCTGGGCAGAGGTGTGTGTGAGACTCTGCCTTCTAGGAAGGAAACAGGAAATGTCTCTTGGGAGCTACTGCTTGTGGAAGCTGGCACCCAAGGCACAGATGTCTTTTTTCCAGGCAAGATGTCTGCACGCAGTGGGCAGAGAGCAAACAAAGTTGTGGCAGATGCTGTCGGTGCCTCACCCATCTCCCTAGACCTAGACCTTCAGTGCACTAGTAGGCTAACTTCCACCCCAGCACCTGCCTTCGTCTCTCTGCCTGGGGGTTTTCTCTGCCCACCAGAGTCCCCCTTGCCCACCCACACAGTAGGCAGGAAGTATGGAGTAACTATGGGAGTGGGTGTATAGATACCTCACCCCAGGGGAGGGGGTAACTCTGAGTTTCCTGTTCTCCACTGGCTCCCAAAGCTCCCAGGCTTTTATTGGCTTTCTTGTCTTTTCTATCTCTTATTTCCCACTCCACTACCCGGGATTCACTTACCTCCCAAATTAACAACTTGTCTCGGGGGGCCTGCTTCTGGGGGAGCCTAAAGTAAGATGTCAGCAGGACACAGTAGGAAAAATGGAGGCTGCAAGGCTGTTTGAATCCCAGCTCCTTTTGTGTAAGGAATCCCCAGCTGGCGCCAGGCTCCTGTACAGGTTGGTTGAGAATAAATTAGCATGTGAATGTTTACAACAAGGCCCATGGCCATACAGTATGCCATGTCGCCTACTAATCCGAATCAAAACCACACTGATAACAATGCCCTTTGGCCAGCTTCAGACTCCTTGCTGAAAGCATAGTCCACCGATTTGTCATCCTGGGCTAAATATAAAAAATTGTGGCCTGAGTCAGAACGTTATTTTCAGCACTCTGTCTTACTTTCAGCCACTGAGGGATGCTGTTCCGAGGGCTGCTTTCCTGGAGGCTGAGGGCAACCCTGATGGACCCCATATTCCAAAGACAACTATCCAACTCCTCTCCCAGGGGATAGTGTCTCCTTAACACACCAGCCTCCCCCAAACCTACCAGGTCGAGGCTTCTGTTTCTGGCCACTCTCCAGAGCTGGGAAGTGGGTCCCTTCCAGGTCTGAGGTCTCCTCTCTCAAAAGCCACAGAAATAGGGCAAGGGGGCATGAGTAACAGAAGTATTTATTAAGAACTTGTTAAGTGCTAGACCCTGAAATTTATGAATCTTCACAAAATCCCTGCCAGACAAGTATTATTTTTTAAAAATATATTTTAATTGATTTCAGAGAGGAAGGAAGAGGGAGAGAGAGATAGAAACATCAATGATGAGAGAGAATCATTGATTGGCTGTCTCCTGCACGCCCCACACTGGGGATCGTGCCTGCAACCCAGGCAGGTGCCCTGACCAGGAATCGAACCATGACCTCCTGGTTCATAGGTCGACGCTCAACCACTGAGCCATGCCGGCCGAGCCAGAGAAATATTATTGACTGTATTTCACAGAAAGGGAAAGTGAGACTTAGCCAAATCACTGGCTCAGGGCTACTTGACCAAGGTTTGAATGGCCTATGCCGCACAATGATGCGTACTCTTCCTCTTCCTCCATGGTGTCTCTTAGCACCAGCAATTCTCTAAATGGGGGTGGGTGACATGCAAGTGGCCCACATTCAAGAGGGGGACATAGTGCCCTCCCCCAGTAGGGGACCCTGCTCTTATTTCTTTGGGGGGAAGGGGAAGATCGAGCAGGTCTCACGATTTGTCAAGGCCCCCTACCCTGGCTGCTCAGCCTCTTAGGCACCTGCAGCTTCTGCCCAGAATGGGACACTCCTGCCACCTACCCTCTGCCCCTGCTGCTGCTGAGGATGAGTGAGGCTGAGAGAGTGGCCTTCGCTCCCTGGATCATGCCTTTATGCTTTGTTGGGTGCTTTTCAGAGACATGATAGAGATGCCAGGTGACAGGTTTACGAGAAGGTCTTCCTGGCACAGCTCAGACCCTAGAGCCCACCCCCTTTTGCCTGGCACTGCTCCCTGAAAGCCATCCCAGAAGCCTTCCCTGACCATGCCCACTGGGACAGTCCACTGTCCTGCATTCTGACAGCCATGGACATTGTTTATTGAGGTTTGATTCAAGGCCCTGTCTCTCACCTGCTTAAAAATATCCATGGCTCCTCACTGCCCACAAAATAAAAGCCGAACTTCCCAGAATTTAAGGCCCTTCTGTCCCAAGTTTTCCTACACAACACTCCCAGGCCCCAGACTTGTTACCTCTTGTCCTTTCTACTCCCACACCCTCTACCCTTCCTATCCTGGCTGGCTCCTGCCCATTCTCTGAGATCCCACCTGCGTTCCCAAGATATTGGATCCACATTGCTAACAAGGGAGCAGGGCCATGTTTGAAGGGAGCTCAGCGCAGTGCCTGGCATGGGGCAAGCCTTGCTCAACGTTGGTCAGGAGTTCGTACCCTTTTTGTGCTAGGGACTATTTAAGAGCCCTTCTCAGAGTCACGCTTTCAACTGCACTAAATAAAATACAAATGTCTGCCAGTGAGGCAGATTTCATTGAACCCTTTGTCAAAATATTTTTAAGTGAAATTTATGATATAGTAATAAATGTGCTTCTACATTAAGGCACAAAACGAGACCTAGAGGTGTGTTCCAATGATCATCATCTCCAATAGTGAGGCGCATAGACAGTATTTCAAAACATCTGCAACAACTGAACGTGATAGAAAAATATCTACAGGACCTGGTAATATTAGGTTGAGCCTTAGGAAACTGCCAATGTTGCACCAGTTTCGAGCTACAAAAACTGTAATTTCATATGGTTTTGCCCAATTCTACTCCAGTTTGTTGCCTACCCTCATCATTAAAGGAAATGCTCAATTTCCGGTATTGTGAGTAAAACTAAGGATGACTCTTTTTCCCCATTTAAGTTCATGGATTCCCTGGAGTTATATCAGGGACCCCTTGGGGAGAAGTAGTTTGAGAGCCCCGAGTTCAGTGGTTCTCAACCTTCCTAATGCCGCGACCCTTTAATACAGTTCCTCATGTTGTGGTGACCCCCAATCATAAAATTATTTTCGTTGCTACTTCAAAACTTCATAAATTTTGCTACTGTTATGAATCGTAATGTAAATATCTGATATGCAGGATGTATTTAGGCGACCCCTGTGAAAGGGTCGTTCGACCCCCAAAGGGGTCGCGACCCACAGGTTGAGAACCGCTTAGCCAGGGCCCCTGGAGGTCGGGGAGGGTCGCCCCTTACCGTCCAGGGGCCGCCTGAGCCTCCCTCCTCCTGAACATCTAACCCACGTGGGTCTCTGCTCCCCGCAGGTTCCCTGTTCCCGGAGCTGAAGCCCTCGGAGAGCGTCTTCAAGGTCATCTTCTGGCTGGGCTACTTCAACAGCTGCGTGAACCCGCTCATCTACCCCTGCTCCAGCCGCGAGTTCAAGCGCGCCTTCCTCCGCCTCCTGCGCTGC